CTTTTTAATAAAGCTACACTACAATAGATGGCTGGGAATTTCCTATATGTATATAGATTACATATTCTTTATCTATAATTTTATAGCATATTTAGTAAAAATACACGATACCTCTTAACATTTCATGAGACCTTTGTTACATATTGAACTTGCAATATGATCCAAAAGTTTGCACATCTCTCTCATATTCAGCTTAAGAGTAATAATCTAATATTCAAATAAAAAAAATATGAGCTTTTATTTGTGAAAATGCTATTTACTGGTGACTATTACAAAATATCTAATAAAAAGTAATGCATTGAAATGAATGAATTGTGTATCGTATCAGGTTATAAGATGGCCAGTTTGGGATGAAATGTGTTTGAGATGGGGACCTTTGGGAGGGCATGGGGCTTACGTGGACAATTTTTTTCATCACTGGCGTCTTGACAGTCAGTGGTTCCATCACAATGCTGATCTGCTCGGATGCAGTAGCCATTGTTGCAGCGGAAACTCTCAGGAGGACTGCACATGCTCGGGGCTGTCAATGCAAGCTGAGGGTCACACTCTGACCAGAGTTTGGACAGAGAAGGGAGCTAACCATGCAATGTGAGATGTGATTCATAAAATTCTACAAGTGGTCAGTGAGTGCTTCCAGTAAGACCACGAAACAGGACAGGCATTTCTTTAATTTGAACTGGGTTTGCAATGTGCAGATAAGCAAACAAATTTAAATACACACAAGTCTAGTGAAGGAATATATCTTGGTGAAAGAACACCAAACTACTCAAAGTTTCTCTCTTGATCATGGAGCAGCCACTCATATATTATTAAAAAAAAAAAAAAAGACCACTGCTTAATAACAGAAGAATATACTGGGCATACGGTGAGCAAAATCTTAAAAGTAATTACCTCGGAAAAATATGACAAACTTCTGTGTTGTGAAGCAGTTATAAAAACATGCATAGCCGAATAATGGCAACTATGTCTACAAAAGCATACATAAACATTATGATTCACCCAACATATTTGATTTTATGTAACCATGCTATCATATACACAAGTTGGAGGAAATCACTTGTTATACAGTAAATATCTTTGAGGTCACGACTATAATAATAATAATAAAGAAGACAAAGGATCATGTCTACTACTGGTTGTGTGTGTGTGTGTGTGTGTGCATGTGTGTGTGTATGTGTGTGTGTGTATGTGTGTGTATTGTATGTGTGTACATGTATTGTGTGTGTGTGTATGTGTGTGTATTGTATGTGTGTACATGTATTGTGTGTGTGTGTGTGTTATTTTTTTAAATAATATACATAGGGAAATTCATTACAGTATTCACAAGAGTCAAAGTGCATATTTTGAAAAAGCAAATCCTGAATGATACGTAAAGGAATTTTCATGTGAAATGAAAAAAGCGAAAAAATATCCTCATTGTTGAGTTCATATTATCCATAAAAAAGATAATGAATTACCTAGTACAGGAGTTAGTTTTAAGTGTGTCACGATATATTTGATAAGCTGCTCAATGAACATAAAAAAAAAAATGGGGCCTATAACATGAAACAGCACATTAAAAAAGAGAAATATTCCTTACAAGACTAAAATCATAATAATCATTGAAATAGTCTATGAAATTACTAAAAATAAAATGATGCAGAAAAGGGATACAGTAAAATTACATTACAGTATCTCAAAGATCTACAGGAATGATAAATTGGGAAAGCTCTAATAATTTCAGCTTTCAACACTGGCATGGGCTGTACCATGCCAAAATTTAAAGGCTTTTTTACATAAATTACACTTTAGGCAAAGCAGACTGGAAGATGCCATGCTAAATACAAGTAACAACTTATCTTATGATAGTTCATGCAAAAACAATACAGTATAGTGTATTTATAGAGTAAAATACCCTTCAGCTAATGAATTCCATCAATGACGCACACAAACAAAGAAACTGGACAATCCCTACTAACATAACGCCGTAGATGACTAGACAATCATTACAAGTCAACATATTTTCATTAAAGTTAGTTGGTGAAAGATTCGAGTGACAAACAATATATAAACGCTAAGAGACGAGGACGAAATTCCCGAAATGTTGATTCATGCGAAAGTTTCTCATAATCAGGTTAGAGAATCGATGTTACAGTAAAGGACAGCATAAATTGTTCCTGTATTTTCCTTTCTTTCTATGCATAACTTACAACATTCTAATTCGTCCCAATTATCAGTACAATCTTTATGACTATTGCATCTTGCAGAAGCGATGATACAGGTACCATCACGACACGTGAATTCATCAGATGCACATGTAGGACGCACAGTTGCTAAGGAGGGTAAGTACATCAAACTCAAGCTCTTTATATATTGAAAAATAACTCACACTGGAGTTAAAAATTAATAACTTTAATTTCACCATTATTAATATATACCTGTAGGCATTCAAATAACCTGAAAACATGCACAATTCTCCATTATAATCAGTTCTATGTACTGTACATATTAAAAAGCCTTAAATTCTAAAATCATAAAAAAATTAAAAACATTACCAACAACATAAATCAATCACATACAATAATGTAAAGAAGGAGAATTTCTTACGTACCCTGTACTGTATTAAATAATAAGTGTAAATGGACCTCTCTTGTATATCTGTTGAAGCTAAAACCCGAAATAAGTCAGAACCAGCTTAAACTAGTCCAAACCAGAAGCTACATTGGCACTACAGTACAACTAGTATTACCAAGGCAAAACTAAGGGAAAACCTGAAATGCAGAGATAAAAGAGGTTAAATCAAGTTTTAGCTAAACTTTTTAAGTTAAAACCAGTTTCAACAATTGCTTTGTTTGAGGAACTAGGTCAATCTGGATACAGCATATCACCACAGTGAAAATGACCACACCCCCCTGCCCCTCCCTTGACTCTGGCTATGTACTGTACAGCTGTAGTGGTTTTCCACGCACAAGTTTCAACTCTCGCCATAAAGAAGCTAAAAACGACATGACTGTGTTCACAAATTCTCTCCAGTTATCACTGTAAAAAATACACAGGGAATGTATGAACTGAACAACTGATAATGCATATACACAGTGCATTACCTGATTATTAACCCTTTAAGGGCAGTGGACATCAGATTTTTAGAGAAAAATGTGTAAAGGGCGGTGGACATCTTATGATGTTTAGGTTTTTTGCGATATTGTTTGTGTGCACTCGTGGCTGTGTTGTTGTCTGGTTACTCTGACGATGCTGGCGGCTCACTCCAAAATATATGTACCACTTGTACCATTCTCCCAATTCAACTTGTGAGATTTCCGAGAAAATTTTATTTCTTGTATTTATTGACTAAACATGAATTTGTAGAAAAATAGATTCAGCTTTTTAATGCTGTCCCACAAAATTAAATGTGTCAATTAGGGCATGTTTTACATGTATTTGAACAACATTATCTTACCCAATTTGCTCCATTCTCTATGTAACAAAATATAAGCTGTCCTGGGCAGACAGCACACATAAATATACTGTACTTGCTTTTAAAGAGTTAAGTACTGTACAGAACTGACATGGGTAGAGGAGAGGCAGGGGTGTGTAGTTTGCCTAAAAAGTTCAGCTAAAACTTGATTTAACCTTTTTTATTTCTGCATTTCAGGTTTAACCCATCCTCCTTTGGTGTAACTAGTTTTGCCTAGTTTAAACTTATTCTGACTTGTTTTTGCTTTTAAGTGCATTTCTAATAAACCTGCCATTGCTTTTATAAATGTTAGTATTCTTTAAGGCAGATTTTATCACAAAATATAAATGAGTAAAGGGTATTCATGAAAATGTGGTAGGACAGACTAACCATACCCAAAGGATTTATTTGTTTCATCACTGCAGTTTGCAAATCCATCAGACAACTGCTGCTTGAAGATGCATAGCCTTATGCCACAAGAGAAGCTATTATTAAGTCATGCAGCTGCAAGAAGCTCTGGTTATGAAAGGAAGTGTTGATACTGTATACTTAAGTAAACTAAAGGTCTGTTCTTATCTACTAAATTCAAGGTGCAGTATTTAATATACGCTTATGTTTCCTTATAGAATGAAATAAATAGAAATACCTGTACAGCAGAAGAATTATATGGTAATAATCTGTGCCCACTACTACTTGATGCAATTAGTGCTTAGTTGGATTAAAAAAATGAGAAGACTAATTGGTCTGAACTTTTCTGGCAAGATATTGGTGGTATACATATTGTACAATATGCATGTCTATAAGTTGTCATACCAGGCAAGGTAAAATTAAAAACATGATTTCGAGTTGAACAAATTCAATTCTCTCATTATTGACCAACTTCCGTATGGATAATTAAATAATAAAGAAACCTAAATGATACCTTACCTCTTCACTATGGTGACACCATTTTTAATATTTTATTTGGCTTGACACTATTGCAAACAAATGACAAATATATTGTCACAAAAAATGTTACGCTAGCTGACAGATGATGATAGATTTGCCATTGCCTTCATAAATGATGATGTTTGTGTTTGATATGTAAATTAATAATATTAATATCAATTAATCGTTTACAGATAAATTCATGTAATAATTAAAAATTTACACCAAAAATGACAGTGTAAAAGCGAGATGTTTGTTGATGTATGTTAACATGTAAGTGACAGCTTGCCAGACTATTAATCGAACTTTGTAAATATATAAACAAATAATTTTTTAAATCATGTTTTTCCTGCTGTAATGCAGGATGGCAAGAATAAAAAGTAACCACCCTCTCCCTTCATTTAGAATCATTAGATTATTATTACAACTGTGTCAAATGTGTCTTGTCATGATATTCTATTTCTAAAAAGAGGACCTCAAACATCCACTTATTAATAACTGTAATTTCACATAACTTAGCTTCATCCATCAGCAGCATATTTCCACTTCACCCAAGTAAGATGAATAATTTCAAGAGCATTTTCTATCTTTTTTCGTAAGGAAGTATAAATGAAGGCAGTATCTAAAAGGTGTTACTTACTGCACATTCTCTCATCAGAGTTGTCATTTAAACAGTCTTGTTTCCCATCACAGTGTAGTCTACGGTCAATACACTGACCATAATCACATTGCCATTCCGTTAGTGAATTGCATGCTGTGGGAAGAAGAGAAGTTATGCTTGCTAATGATTATAAAGATTATTAGTATGTTAGTTTCTGTATACATGCATACATTTAATATACAGTAGTATTTTTTAAATGTCAGAGGATGGATCTAATTACTTAGTTAGTTAAATTACTTCTTATTCTAATAAGAAAGTCAATTGAAATTTATAAAGCAGGAATGTCCTATCTAAGAGGGTTGTGGTAAGAGCCATAGTTCTCAGAAGCAATGCAGAGCTGTTTTGTCTAACTGTAATAGTGAAATGTCATTGTAGTGTTAACACTAACCCATGTACATTATTGTTTCAATAATATAATTAACACAGTACAGTACAGGTAATTCACAATAAACATCATAAACCATGTTACTTACCTTGCTTAATGATTTTTTTTATAATCACCAGTAAAACATAAAAATCATCAAAAAAGAAAGTAATACATAATAATTATTAGGTACTAAACTAAAGTAGATAAATCTGTTCAGAATCTTAACATTTCTGCAGGAACCCCACATTGCGAAACTAATTTAAATTGGCAATACAAGTAGAGCAAACATATCAGTAAATTTCATCGAGTCCTACATATACAGTAGTACATCCATACTGTTGGTGATATAGAACTGTAAAAGCACAAGAATGGCATCAACAGAAAAATCATATATACATAAGTAAAAAAATAAATTACATGAAGAAAAAAAACATTGAGTATTTAGACTACAATACTTAATAGAAGCATTTTGGACATGTGTCTACTTTACCTTAATTCACTTACCAATTCATTTAGAGAGTATCAAGAAATGAAACACTGAATTATTAAGTCTCACTTTACAGCTGAGGAGAGTTGAGTGATCTGCAATACCCTTATAGTGTAAACCCTGACCAACATTTGACCCACCTACCCAAGCCAGGAGGCCTGACATGCCCCAATGGCAGGTTTCCACTGCTTGTCTAGATCACTGCAAATCCTGTATAAGCAAGTCCCAGGTACTTAAGCACAACAATATGGCTGGGTGGTGTTAACCAATTAAGTTATTAAATGGATCATATACCTTTTCGAACTGACACATTTATAAGAATGAAGACAGATTAGTGACCTCCCCTTCAGATGGTTTGCAAATGAAAAAATATTTAACGGCCACAATTGAGCACAAATACATATCTCTACCATTTCCTATCTATCAAGCTGAAATATAAATAAACAAATCTTGTACAGTATTCTGACTTGGCCAAAACTGAAAAACAGGTTGGGCTTTCACAAACTTTCTATTAAGGGTATAAAACTTACATTCCTCCTAAATGCCTGAATTTCTGATATCCTCCTTTACCTGAAGCCTGAGAGAGTTGGATCAATGTTTTCCTAATATCCTTAAATGGTAAAATTGAGATAAGTAACGACAGCATAATTTTCTTCAAGAGATGGTTGTAGAAACAAGACCAAGATACACATTCAAATGAAGGTAAGTTCAGGTCAATGGTAATGGGTCCTTTCATGGATTTAAAAGGGCATTTGTTTGAGGCTAAAGAATAAGTCAATGGCATCCTAGAGAAAAAATAGTACAGGTATATAAAAAACCTCTGAGAGAGAGAGAGAGAGAGAGAGAGAGAGAGAGAGAGAGAGAGAGAGAGAGAGAGAGAGAGAGAGAGAGAGAGAGAGAGAGAGAGAGAGAGAGAGAGAGAGAGAGAGAGAGAGAGAGAGAGAGAGAGAGAGAGAGAGAGAGAGAGAGAGAGAGAGAGAGAGAGAGAGAGAGAGAGAGAGAGAGAGAGAGAGAGAGAGAGAGAGAGAGAGAGAGAGAGAGAGAGAGAGAGAGAGAGAGAGAGAGAGAGAGAGAGAGAGAGAGAGAGAGAGAGAGAGAGAGAGAGAGAGAGAGAGAGAGAGAGAGAGAGAGAGAGAGAGAGAGAGAGAGAGAGAGAGAGAGAGAGAGAGAGAGAGAGAGAGAGAGAGAGAGAGAGAGAGAGAGAGAGAGAGAGAGAGAGAGAGAGAGAGAGAGAGAGAGAGAGAGAGAGAGAGAGAGAGAGAGAGAGAGAGAGAGAGAGAGAGAGAGAGAGAGAGAGAGAGAGAGAGAGAGAGAGAGAGAGAGAGAGAGAGAGAGAGAGAGAGAGAGAGAGAGAGAGAGAGAGAGAGAGAGAGAGAGAGAGAGAGAGAGAGAGAGAGAGAGAGAGAGAGAGAGAGAGAGAGAGAGAGAGAGAGAGAGAGAGAGAGAGAGAGAGAGAGAGAGAGAGAGAGAGAGAGAGAGAGAGAGAGAGAGAGAGAGAGAGAGAGAGAGAGAGAGAGAGAGAGAGAGAGAGAGAGAGAGAGAGAGAGAGAGAGAGAGAGAGAGAGAGAGAGAGAGAGAGAGAGAGAGAGAGAGAGAGAGAGAGAGAGAGAGAGAGAGAGAGAGAGAGAGAGAGAGAGAGAGAGAGAGAGAGAGAGAGAGAGAGAGAGAGAGAGAGAGAGAGAGAGAGAGAGAGAGAGAGAGAGAGAGAGAGAGAGAGAGAGAGAGAGAGAGAGAGAGAGAGAGATGTCACATAGAAGTAATTATTTTGATAGGGTGTGTACACACACACACACAGTAACACCCCATTGAAATCCAACCCATTATCTTTTAATGCTATACGTACGGAAAAAATTACACACGCCATTTTTTTTACGCTTGTTGAGCAGGCTAAGTGCATGGGTCAAAGACAAGACTCAATGCCACATTTTTTCAAGTCAGTTAATTACCATGGAGAAAGCAAGCAGCAGTTTTAGCCACCCCAAGGAAGGTGAGGAATTGACAATGGTATCATGAGCACTTAATAAGTGACAAAGCTATTTATTGTGTTTGCTTATACTCTGGTTTTTTCCTTAATAAATTATCAATGTGTACCAGTAGCCAAAGCAAGCTACCGTTTATCACTTTTAATGAGATATAACACTGTCAGGAATGCATCTCCTTATCAATGACCCTGTTAAAAGCCGATTCACTGATAGCTCTCTTATCCAAGAATGCATCCCTGGCTTTCAATGGGGTATTACTGGATGTAATGCAAAAACCATTATATAACTAGAGATATGAGGAAATGTGTCCACTCCTCCAAGGGATTTTTCTAGTTCAGTGATAATAAAAGTGTTTCCCTGGCATCTGTAGTAGTACAGGCATTCTCTAATTTACAAAAGGTTTCAGTTCCTGAAAACCTTTCACAAATACAGCTAGACCCCGACTTACGACTGCTTCGACTTCCGACCGTCGGGACTTACGACCGCCGCAGTTGTGACCATTTTTTTTTTTTTCAATTTTTTTTTTCCAAATGACACACGTATTTTCTATACCGAAACGTTTCCAGTTAATGTAGTCTCCATGTATAATTAGAAAATTATGGGGGCCCCATGTGCATTCAGCTGACTACATTAAAGGTAAGTGCTCAGTCACATTGTATCCATTCCTCATTATTTATTACTTTCACTGTACTGTATCCATTCCTCATTATTTATTACTTTTACTGTACTGTATTTCATTGTAGATTTTTTATTAAATTTTTTTTTTTTATCTATGTCGGACTTACGACCATTCGGACTTACGACCATTCGGACTTACGACCATTCGGACTTACGACCTGGATTTGGGCCCCTAACCCCGTCGTAAGTCGGGGTCTAGCTGTATTTTTTTGGGTAAATAGGATAACATGCTTTTAATGAAAAATTTTGTGTCACACAATGATAAGCCAATAATAAACATTAATGTAAAAAACATGCAGTGGAGGACATGGAAGTTGCAGAGAACCAGTGATGCAGTGACAGACTGCAAGACCCAGCTAAGACATGTAGTTTAAGTTTATGTTGATGCACCAACAGTAAGTCTACTGTACATACATTTTTAGATGTTTTACTTTCACTGGTTTTGATTTTTGATGTGACTTTATCTGAGGAAGGAATTCTAAAACATTTCCATTTAACATTTTAATTTTTCTTTTAATATCATATAAAGCTCTGGGATACTAAACATATCGGCATTTCCACAGTCAAAATGTTTTGAGACATGACTAAAACACTACATGTACAAGGAGTATTTTATTTTTATTTAAATAACCACTCTTAATACTGCACAGTATGTTGTTTTTAGTTTAATTGTCTTTATAAAATGACCAGGTCTGGTAAAAGGAAGCCCTGAAATGCTTGTGTCACCTCCTCAGTATTTTCTATTCTTGTGAAAAAGTTACCTTTAGGTAAAGGCCTCTACACCTGTATACTGTACTGTACAGGTAATTCACTTAACATTAAATCAATTTAGCGATAAAAAATCTTTACACCTTTTCTCACTTCATTTGGTAAAATTTCAGTTAAGTGATGCCTACACTCACTGGGAAGGGAAAAAAACAGGGGATGAGGTGGCATCTTGCCATTGTTACAAATATTAGAACTATAAAATCATGGAAAATTATTACAATAATGTACTCAAATATGGCTTAGAAATAAATAAAATATATAAAATTATAAAACCAGAAAAATTAAGAGCATGGGTGCGTGTACAGTGAACATAAGTGTGGAGGCAGTGGACTGTAACTGCGTTGCCGACTTGCCTCCCAACCGTGCACTCTCCCCTCCCGATATGAAGTCACTCCCCTCCCGATATGAAGTCACGGCATAACATGGGTCTTGCCCAACTGAACTGCATCACGCTACCAGAGAAAGGTTTGAGTGTCCTATTGTATTTTATTTTTAAGATGTATCAATTTTACTGCTTATCTCTCATATATACAGTACAGTATTACCCCGCTTTATGCGGTTTCACTTTCCGCGATTTCTCATTTACGCGGTGCTTCGCCAGAACCGAACTTTCACTTTCCGCGGTGCATCTACTCATATACGCGGGAAGCGGCGTGGGCAGGATGCGCACAAGGTCACCCAGTCATCAAAACATTCCCGAGTTCTTCACCCGCCACCCACCACAGCCGGCCTAAGTCAGTGATAGTGATGGTGAGGATATGGACTTATATGGACTTTGAGGGGTTTGACAAAGAGGCCCTGCAAGCCTATG